AGAGCATGGTAGGGGAATATAAAAGCTTCTATGAATGCTCTTCTTTTTCTTCAAATCAAAACAGCTGCACACACATGTCTTTTATTAAATAATACCCTTTTAATGAATCATGAATGCACTCCAACTGACAGGAAGGTTATCAGCAAGCATCAAACCTGGTTGCTTCAGAATACAAACCAGGGGCTTTAGTATTTTTAAAAGAAGAATTTCTTTTTTATCTGTAAGATGAATTCTGTGGAACATCCACAGCACATCCAATACCAAGGATAGTAACAACAGATTTACGTATAGTCATTTCATTTAGTTTATTACTTGGTATCACAGCTTTAAAATGAAGTGAATTTGCTACGACCTGAAGTAGCACTAACTGCAGTAGGAAAAGGTGGTTGTTTCTATCATGAAGGTTTCTTCATTTTCTACTCTAAGAGCTTAATTCCTTTGTTTCATGGCCTATGTTTCACAGATACGTGACAGATGGTACTAACTAGCCTTGCACAGTGAAAACAGAACTGTGAAAATATGCTGTTGGGAAATACACCAAATGTACCTTGTGCTGTTGATTGCCTAAAGACTGTTCTAGAATTTGCTCCAATCACCAGAAAAATGTAACAATGGAGTTCAAAAAAAATATGTTTGACAATTGTCCACCAATTTCTCCTGACTTTGGAATCTTGTCTGAGTCAGTGATAAAGTGAACCAAGCTTTGTAGATATATTGTCCACTGAAGGTTATTAAGTTACTAGAGTAACAACTGAATACTATATCTACCTGAAGTACGTTACTCAGTCTCAGAAATGAAGTCTGCAAAACTGTTAAACTGACAAAGTATGCAACATAAACCATTGACCTCTTGTGGTTAGAATGCTATAAAAGCAGTTTTCAGGTTAAATTAAGCCACCATATATAATTTATATAATTTATCCTGAAAACTGCTTTTATAGCATATATATATATATATTATTTTTTTTTCTGAGAATCAATTTGAATCACAAGAAACTGAAATAGTCACCCCGTATCAGTTTGAAGGAGTTCACTCCCCAAACACAGCTTAGAACAGAGCTTAGAATATCTGTTTTGCCCACAGTGCCCTGAAGTAGCTTAAGCCAGGCTGCAAGCCAGAACTTCAGAGACAAAGTTCTCTTAATAAAATCCTTATTGATTTTTAGAACATAATGTTTTTAGAACCTATTGTTTTTAGCACATTATAGGCAAAGATTGCTTGTTTGTTTTCCAAATAAGCAATCAAAACATCATGCATTACTGTAACTCGTTGCTCTAAAAGCACTATCTCCACCCCACACAATGTTTCTGCAGGATGTCTCAAAAGTCTAAGAAGTATTGACAATGATGTTCCATATTTCAACTTGTAAACAAAATCACAAATTTGAGGAAATTAATTTCACTGTCTCACATTTAAGGAATTTTAAAACAAGATGCAAAACTCATACTCATTTTTCTTTTTTCCCAATTGTGAATATTTACTACTTATTAATATTCCCAAAGCAGTTCTTGGCTGATCCCCCAAGGGCAGATTGATCACAGGGGACTTGGGACACTTACTGTGGATCATTAATGAATTCAGGCCTCCCAACGCATCAGAGTGCTGTGTAGGATGTGGGCCATGGGGCTGATAAGGCTAAAACTCATGGCCAGGGCACATCCCAGTGCCCCAGACAGGACCAGGGGCTGGAGCATCCCCAGGCCCATGACTGTGAGAGATAAAGACTGACTGAATTGAGCAGGGTGTGGGAGGTCCCAGAGGAGGCCTTATGGGGACAGTTATGGATAGCAGTTCCCTCATGGCTCTGATATAAAAATTTTTCTGCTGCTGCTGTGACATGGACATTTCTGAATGGCTTTGTTGGATTTAGGTACTTTGGGTTTCATTTTCAGGATCATAAAGAGTGCTTCAGACCTCCTTTGTTTATTCTTTGGAGAGAAGTTGCATTCTCTATAGGGGTTTACTCCTTTCAAATTGCAATGAGTAACTATAAAGAATGCCTTGTGAGCTGTGTTATTTGAGCTCAGAACAAATGCAGTAGTTCTAAGTATGGCTAAGAAAGACTTTATCTCTCACCACCTGCATAAGTAGTTCTAGGATATGAATTGATTTTTATACTGAATAGCATTCAAAATCCAGCAGGCTAATAAAAATACAGATAGCAATCATAGATGTGATGAAACAGAACACACTTCATTCCACTGGAACATTACCCGCACACATTCATCACCAAGGGACAGACTCCAGGTCAGCTTCAGAGCAGCAAGAACTTTAAAAGCCAAAATATCTTAAATAGCCTAGAAGTAATTTAGCAGAACACCCCGCTGTATCTTTTCATTCTTATTATTTGAATTTAGAAAAATAAACGACTGTGTTAGATGTCCATTTTGGTACACACAATTTTAAGAATGTAGAAACTAAACTGCTTGTTCTAATTACACATTTTTTTTTCCTCTGGGTTTTCGGTCTTTCAAAGGAATATAATTACCATAGAACTTTTGTATTGCCAACTGTTATTCAATCAATAATTATGACAAAACATCAAACACTGCTTCAGCATACGAGATTATTTTAAAAGTACTGTCCCTTTAAGTATGTGGAAAACTGATATGCAAACATCTTGAGAATCACACAGTTTATCCAGTTTAAACAACTTTAAGACATAGTTTCAGAGATATCTTTCACTATTCGATGAACAGAACTTTTGACCCTAATAGGTCTTCCAAGGAAATAATTAGCTTTAGGATGTATTTAAGTAAATGAACATATGAAAAAAAAATCTCAATTACCATTCCTTAGTCATTTCTGTGAATTGTCTGCATTTGAACAATGAGGCTTCCTGACTGATATATTTTCACTTAAGAATTTGACAGAGGGAAGCTGAAAAATTTGCCATGAAGAGAAAGCACTGACATGTGGCTGTTCCACACTAATGGCTTCCTTAGGGACTAATAAAATAAGTTAGAGCCTAATAAAAAGACTGACCTTTTATTTAGGATAACAATGAACCTTAGCTGCCAAGTTAAGTAAGACCCATTATTCTAAATGACAAGAAAAAAAGCTCAAAGGAGAAGTCACATACTTCCCATGAACCTAACATATTATCATAGAAGTACATTTAAATTTCTCAGTTCTAAGGAGAATAAATTTGTATGTGGTGAAGCAAGACATACTTATTTAGTAAAATTCTCCCTTCTGACTGCTAATTTCAGAAACAATACTGCTAATATTCTCAGAGAAGTTCTGGGGAGAATGTTGATGATACAGTACCACACAAGATTTCAGATTCATGAAACACATGAAATGCTGTGAAAATAGTGGCACCAAGTCAGATTGCACAATTTTTTTGTTCAGTTTCTTATCTCAAAAAATAGATGTAAAAGACTAAGAACACAGAAATCAATAGGACGACTCCCAATGCTCCTCCAGCCTTAGGGACTTCCCAGGTTTTGTAAGTCTGTTACTTAATTGAAAAAAAACATCACTGGTAGTGCCTTTTGAACCTGACACCTACTAATTTCCTCTGATACCACCTCTTTCTCTATAGTGGAAGGGAGAAACAGTTTATCCTTACATACACTGTGAATCACAGAATCATTAAAGTTGGAAAAGACCTCTAAGACGGTCTACTCCAACTCTCAACCCATGTCCGCTAAACCACATTCCTAAGTGCCACACCTACCCCTTTCTTGAAAGTCTCCAGGGACTGTGACTTCACCACTCGCTGGGCAGCTTGTTCCAATACCTCCCTCATCACCCTTTCCAAGAAAGTTTTCCTATTCTCCAACCTGAACATTCCGTGACGCAACTTCAGGCCATTAGCTCTCACCCTGTCTCTCTCTGTTACCTGGGAAAAGAGGCTGATCTCCACCTTGTTACAACTGCCTTTAAGGGAGTTTGCAGAGAGTAGTAAGTTCTTCCCCAAGCCTCCTCTTCTCCAGACTGAACAATCCCAGTTCCTTCAGCTGCTACTCATAAGACCTGTGCTCCAGATCCTTCACAGCTTCGCTGCCCCTCTTCAGACATGCTAGAGGGCTTCAATGTCCATCTTGCAGTGAGGGGCCCAAAACTAAACACAGTACTTTTGTACTGTTATTTCTAATTCAAGCCAGGATATCATTAGTCTACTTGGCCACCTAGGCACACGGCTGGCTTGTGGTCAGCTGATTGCTGACTGATATCTCCAGATCTTTTTCCTCCACGCAGCCACTCTGTCCTAAACCTGTAGCAATGTATGGTGCTGTCATTCAATGCAATGGATGATCACATCACTTCTTCAAAAAACATTTAAGAAAGAAAAGGCTTAAAGAATTGTGGATAAGATTCTTCAGCTTCAGTTAAGAGTATGAGCCAGATAGGATTTTGGAATTCAAATATTCAAGATAAAAATATCTTAAAGAGGCAACAAGATTATAACGTTTATTTATAATTTTCTTCATTATTAAATATAGTTAATTTATTAAACTAAAGGAGACTCCTGACAAAAGTAGTATTGCAAACTTTTCACAAAGACTTTCCAGGAATAAGTTTTTCAGGAATAGCAAAGCATGACCCCTTCAAAACAGATGAATTCTAGGAAAACCAGGTGAAACATTTAACACTTAAAGAACTGAAGTTCTATAGAGCACTTCAGTTACTTCCTTATTGCATTTATTCAAAGAAGTAATCTGCTACATGTTACACGCTCCTTCTGCATCTATTTGAACTTTAAAGAGGAAAATTTTACATATTTCAGTGAAGAAATTTTCACAAGATGAAAACAAACATTGAAAAAGTATATTAGTATATGAAGTAATTTTGGTCTTAAATGATATTAAAAAACATTATAAATTGTTTGTAATCAATAAAAATATCAGCTCTATCAAAATTTTATCCAGTAAGCTTATCCAAATTTTCTATGATTTGTATACTGTAACACATTTTCTTGACTCATATTCATATCCCTCTGTGGAATTTTTCAGCAGTCTTAAAAGGAAACAATTAAAAGGTAGTAACTTACATAGTAAAGACATCAATGACATCTCCTGCAGCTCTTGTCATCTCAAAGTAGGTTTGCAGAATGTTGACAGTTCCTGAAAGTGCTTCATGTCCACAACCACAGAACAGTGCAACACCAGCATACAGCAGTATGGTAGCAATCAAAGATGCATAGGGAATACCTCCCAGGCATTTGATGCAACACTCAAAGCACCCTACAAAAAAAAGGAAAGTTTTTTGTTAATGTATTATATCAAAGAAAAAGAAAAAAGATTTTTTTTTTTTATCTTGAGAAATGTGTAAATTGAAGGTGGCAGGCCAAAGGCAGATTAGATCAGGTATAAAACCCCATAATTTCAGAAAATCTGTGAGAGAACACAGGTTAATTCAACTTTTGAGCTTTCTTAGTTGCTATGTGGCCTATTAAATGTGGACAGGCCAGCTGATTAACATGGAATGTTCAACACTGTATTATTCCTTGTACAGTTTCATATTTTGATTCAGAGCAGATTACAGAGTCAATTCCAGGTTACACCAATATTCACAACTCCTGTTGCTCAGCTATTGGATTTCTGAGAAGGATCCTCAATAATGGGAAAACCACAGGGAGCATCCAATTCAGTTCTCTCCATCACCATACATTTTTTTCATCTGCAGACAGTGACAACAGAATTTTTCCACCCCATAGCACCATTTTGAGGATGCAACCGACTCTTCATATGTCACTAAGGTATCTAATAATAATAGAGGAAGATACCACACTAAAAAGGCACAGATTAAGACGCCACTAAAAAGGTACGGAACACTTGTAATAATTATAGAAGCTGAATTATCTCTCAACTTATTTTACCCCGTGTAATGTTTCTAGAGTGAGAGCAATTGAGGCAGAACCCTATAGTAGGGAGAGGGCAGACAATTGTAGGTATTAAGGAAGCTGGTCTGGAATGGGAGAAAATCCTGAAGAAAGGCACTGACTCAATAGCTAGAAGCTTTATTTTCTCCTAATAATTGCTAGCTTGTGCCACAAGAGATATAGATGGAGTGAGGCTTATAGATTTTAAATGGATGTGTCAACAATTGCCAATTAAAGATTATATATATGATGTTCAGCAGGTGTGAGTCAGTGTATTTTAAGATGCTCCCAAAACCTCAGGCTATGCTAAATTATAGGAATGCCAGAGTTACAGTGAAACAGCAACAACAAAAGTGCAAAAAGACATTTTTTAAATAAAATATCTACCTTACTCAAAGTACGTGTAGCCTCTACATGTAATTCTGTATTTTGTCATGCAGATTCTTGTTTCTTTTAGTCAAGATAATCAGAATAGTCATTTCCTCCGTCTGTTCAAACATTCATATTCTGCTCTTAATGAATAAATGCCAATCTGTTTATCATATATATATTTAGCAGCTGTTTATACACATCAAAATCTCTGAACAATTGTCCTGGTTTCAGCAGACACAGTGTTGATTTTCTTTCATAAAGTCTGATACGATGCTTTGTTTTGGCTTTAGGAGAAAAACATTAACAACACAACAACATTTTAGTTGCTGTTGAGCGGTGTTGCACAGAGCCAAGGACATTTCTGTTTTCTGAGCTTCTCTTTTTGTCCTGCCAGTGAGGGAGTTGGGGAGGCTCACTAAGATTGGAGGGAACAGAACCAGGACAGTTGATCCAAATGGGATATTCCATTCAATCTGAAATCATGCAAAAAACAAACAAACAAAAAAAACACCAAACCAAGGGAAGTTGGCCAAGGGGAGAGCCACTACTCAAGGAGTGGCTGGGGATCATTTGGTAAGTGGAGAGCAACTGCGTTGTTTTGTGTGTATGCATATGTGACTCTGTGTGTGCGTGCGTGTGTGTGTTATTGCTCTCTTCATTTTTTTTGTCCTAGCAAATAGTGTTTAGCTGCTTGCCAGGTTAAACCACAACAATTTAGGCCAGTTTCAAATACACATTTTTTTTTTAAATAGAAACCTGTATTGATATTTTGTAAATACAGATTATCTGAAAAGCAGTGTTTGAACTGCTAGATAATTTCCATAAGAAAAATAAAAAAATTATACTAAACATGCACAAAACATAATCAGACTTCATAAATTAAAGTAATTCCCAACTACGTATGATGATTTCATCACAACAGAAGCAAAGATATTGTTTGAGACTTGTACTTTACAAATTATCTCAGCAAATCATCCATCTCCAGTCGCCATAACACATTTGCATGGTTGTAACACTGCCCTCCCTCGCAATATTTTGGCTGAAGAATATATCCTTCTCTCTACTCATAACACCCTATTGTGCTGACAGGAGGTAGATCTCCTTTTCAACAGTGACACAGGGCTTTCAATGTCAAGAGATCACTTTTTGTCTGTTCAGTGATTGTAAAAGTCCAGAGTTTTATATCTAGAAAGTGGATTTTCCATTAGTGGGAGGTTTTAAAAGACTGGGAAAACAAATGCTTGTGGAGTAACTAGTTCTGCAAGCAGATAAATTACTCAATCTTAAAATTCTCTCATTCCCATTTTCTGAGATTACCCCTAGCAATACCTATAAACTAGTTCCTCAGAGCTTAAAATCCAACACAAATACTGTTTGTGGATCCTGCACTGGCTAATCTACTGTCTAATAGGCATAGAAAATAAGAAATACATATTGAAAAAATATATATATTGAGCAAGGAAGACACGGAAATAGATGTTTGATTACAGAGATTAATGAAAAATGCCCATTGCAAATTTCAGCACAGCATAGGGCAGAAAAAGCTTTTGGAAATTAGTACTCAGCATTGTAAGAAATAGTAATGAGGGAGAGATGACAGTAAGTAGAGTGACAGTGGGAGTGAGGTACTAGGGCCTGGAATGTTAAAAATGAAAAAGTAAGCTGTACCTAAACATTTACAGTGACACTGGACTTTAGAGAGTATTCCTTAATATTGCAGTGGTGTGAGGCAGGGAGGAAGAAAATAATTTCCAAAAGATTTCTTTTTCATCTTCAGAAACAGGCAAAATGGGAGTGAGAAAGCTAAAGAAATGACAAGATACAAACAAAACCAGCTAATATTCTCAATTAGAATAAATGTGATTGAGATATGACTGCTATATTAGTCAGATACAACTGCTATAATAGTACTATCAGTATTATTATCTGGAAACAGTCATTTTTGCACTGCCTCCTGAAGCTGCTGAATCTGACCCACCAGTCCAGTGACAGCTGACACAATCTGATCCCATAAACTGCATCAAAAATCTCACGTAAGTAATATTACTTTGGCTCTATTACACTAAAACATATACTACCATGAAATAGCATAGCAAAGTGATATGTATGGCACAGCAGAGTGATATATTGTAGTGACTAGCAGAGATGAACAAAAATAGATGTAATAAAGTACTATCTACATTTTATCAGAAATTAAATCAATATTTTTAAAAATTGTTTAAATTTTAAAAGGTAACTGAAAAATGTATAATTTGTGAATTAGAAAAATTGCTTCCGTTCCTATTTCACATTACAATTTCTCACACTTGTAAGCCTTTGACAGAAACTTCTACAACAGTCTATTTTACCCATTCAAGAATTTGTTGCTGACTGAGGAATCATCAGAAAATTTCCTTTAAACATGTAGCTTTCAAATAATTGTTTATCCTTTAAGACCTTTCTGACTTATTCAGCTCTTCCTCATGCCTATTACCTTTCTAACTACTTACTTCATGAGTAATGCTAGAGTTTTCAGTGTTGTCAAACCAAATAAAAACTGAAGAAAAGCAGTATGTCATGAATAAGATGTTAAAATGGATATTGCTCGTCAATCATACACCACAAAAGGTAATGTGCTGCAGGTTACATTTCCTCTGATTCTTTTTTTCAGCTTTCAGAATGTGAAAATAGATGTTTAATAACAGAACAATAGAAATGCTATTTTAACTAGCACAATAGTACTGAACCAATACAGAGTGTGACTCAGCCATACCACGTGTGTATAGTATATGTCTGTGTGAGAGAGACAGTCATTCAGGGCTCTGAACATTATCTTCACAAGACAGCTAGAACACACAGCCACAGAAATAATTACTAAGAAGATAAAAAAAAAAAAGATCACACTGCTTTGATGTTTGTTCTCCTCTGGAAATAAAGACATAAGTGCTTTCAAACAGTTCACTCTGCAAAATAAAGCTATTTAATCTCAAATGTCAGCATTTACTCTTATTATGATGTTTTCCAATATTCTGCCTTAGGCAAAAGTCTAGATCTGGTGGAACTATATATTTCTACATAAGCCACAGGAAATAATTCAAATTAGCATTCTATTTTGGAACTTTGAATATGAAGAACTGCATCAATCACATTTTTTGATAAGCACAGAGAAAACATAATAACGAAGATGGCAAGACAAGGAATTTTATGTTTGTGGATAAAGTCCACATAACATATCCAAATACTGACTACATTTAGGTATCCAAATAGTGCTTATTAAAGTTGCTTTTCATATATTTACTTTCCATCAGCAAAGTTCTCATACACAACCACCTCATCTCCTCTTGGTAGAATCCTTACTGTCCATTATCAATAATATTCTCAATAAGGGAAAAAACTTCTGCTTTAAAAGGCTTATAAAACTTTCTTTGTATTGTCTTTGTCCAGACAAACCATTCACAATTCTTCCACTCTATACTGTTGCTTTTATCAGGCAAATATTCTAACAAGTATCCAGGTACACCAGCCAAACATAACTTCACCTTGTTTGTTTATATGACCTCTTCTCTACATTAAGGAAGTATTAAGATCTTAAGCAGAAGATGAGGTTGTGATTGTGATTTACTTACTAATTATGCACACAGATCCCACCACCGTAACTATCACTTTGTTTTTATCTTAGTTATATGTGAATTCTTTCACTGCAGGCAGCATCCAGAACTGATGGATAGGACAAAAAAATTATTTCTGGCCAGTACATTAAATAAACAGACAGACAGATAGATAGATAAAAGAGAGATTCAGGAAATATCTTTTACCACATATATTTGTGAAAGTGAAATTTAGATCAGTGGTATAACCAGATTCAGAATGCAATTATGTTACTATCTTCTGCAAATGCATGGATGCATTTGTTTTCAGAATTCAGGATCTAAAATCAGTTTTAACATTAGCCACATCTGTAAATAAAGTAGATATTATTTACACATTCAGTTGATAACACTGTAAGGAAGAAAAAACGTTCTGCTGAGTAATGAGGAATATGAGGGCCACTCATGATAAAAATAAATACAGATTCTCATATGACGCAACCTGTATCTTCACTTCCTCATCTTCAAGTTGCGTGATCAAAATGTTTGCTTGAAGAAGGACATGGTATTTGGAATTTTTTAACTGTATCTCATATTTTGTCAATAAATCTTCCTTTGGTTTCCATTCAAATTTTGTTCTAATTTCACCCAAGAAAATAAAGAACTTGCTGGCATGGAAGCTCTAAACATATCACTGGAGAGAGCAACAGGCAGAAACAATCTAACTCTCCTGATGCTGTCCCAGGTACAGAGGACAGACAAGGCATCTGAGAAGAAGCTTAGCAAAGCTGCAAGTATGAGAAGGTAACAGTCCAGAACCACAAAGACCATCCTTTTACTGCTATCTGGAAAACCTGTGCTGCAGGTTTTGTCCAGGTCATCAATAAAGACATTTAACAAGACAGGCCCCAACACTGACCCCTGGGGAACACCAGAAATAATACAGTTTTTTAAAACCAGTGTTTTGTTCAAATTGTAATTAAGCAACTTGATCTCTAGAAGGGTAAGAATAACATGCACAGAAAATCTCAAAAGGATTTTTAAGAAAAAGAGAAATAATTAGAAGAAAATACAGGTTTCCTCTTGCACTTTGAGTTCTGTAGTATTACTGGATCTACTTTGACTTATCTACTTAGGGGTACTGGATCTTAGCTAATCAGGAATTATCTAATGTGAAAATTCAAAATATTATCGTTGAGGTTTTTTAAGTCATTCTACAGAGAGCAGTTGCTACACTTAAAATGGGACAAAGGCTTAGGAATTGTGAAAAGACCCTTGTTTATTTAGATGCAGAATTTCTAGAAATAGATTGAGATACCTAAGAATGTGCATTCCCTCACAGTTACTCTGATGTTTGTACATGTTTGCTTTTAAGAACCCATTTGACCTAAAAGACAACTTCAAGCAGTGAAGTTATAGTCAGGATACACTGAATATTGAAGGTAGCTACTTTTTTGAAATGTATCTTTAGATTAACTGGCATAAATATATTTCTAGAAATCACCTTTGTGCACTGGTTAGGATAACTTGATTAAACAGAACTACATTAAGAATCAACATATCTGCAAACTCTCATCAAAAGTCACTGATTCACACCTCAGGCTCCAGAATTCTCCATAGAAATATATCACTCTAGAACAAAAGGAACAAAAGATTCATTTTCTTAATTGACTGTGCTCTGGCTCTCTGGCTTGTTGAAAGTGCTAGTCATCCAAGGAATATAACTTAAATTATTTGAACGATATTGGGAGTATTTCAGCTTAGATGTGAAAAGTCCCCTTGCACAGGCCTCAACAACGATAATACTGCAGTGTACAAATCCAGGCTTTTCCATCATGTTTATCACTATGTTTAGGCTTCAAATTATAAATAGAATGTTCATCAACAAGGAAAAATCATAAAACCCATTTCAAAGGAAAAATTGGGGAAAAATACAATACAGTTGTCTAAAATTAGGGTGTTTGAGATGCACAAATCGAATGGATAAGTGAAGAATTCTCTGGTGACAAAAGCAACATTTTATTAACATTTATAAGAGCTGATGTTTTCTTAAGGGGCTAAATGCTGAAAAAATTGGAATTGAAGAGGCAGAGGTGAAATAGTTGGCTGTTCATCTGACTTGAATTCCAGAAGATATATGGGAACTTGTCTACAGTAATCACAACAAAAGGAATCCATTGATCAGCTTAGTTTTTATTTCAGCTCAGTTCTAGTGTTGTTTTATCCTTAGTAGGCTCAAGGAAATAAAACTGCAATAGTCAGCTCTTATTTTCTCTACCTTATACCAATGTAAGATTGTTCTGCACTTTTACTTGAAAAGTAAAGGCTTGCAGTTACATTGCTACATACATGCATACATAACAAAATCTAAATAATATAATACACATTTTAGTATTTTAGATGAACTCACCTTAAATTGCTAGGTGTCACAGTTTTGACAAAGGCTTTAATTAAGTCAAATTTTGAGATATTTTAGATACAGATTTGAGAATTAAGACCAGCTTAGGCCAGTAGTCCAATGCAAACTCATATGTTCCATAAAATGGAAGATTTTTTTCTTTAGTTTGCAAAGTCTTCTTGTGGAAGCACCAACTTCTTTAAATAGAAAAAATGCACTGGAAAACTTTTTTTTTTTTTTTTTCAATAGGAAAACAGTAGCACAGTCTCTATTATGACCTTCAAATAACTGCCATTTAAGAACACCTTTTCTGTTCTGAGTGCATACACAAGCTGTGAATTTCTTTCTGTTCATGATTATTTTCATTGGACAGTACAGAGCAATGCAGAGTGTTTTAATAATACTATTAGCATAAAACAAACAAACAAACAACAACAAAAAAAAACCAACAAACAAAAGAACTCTCCCTGTCTTACTTACAATGATAGACTCTTACTCTGAGTCATAAATAATGGTAATTAAAATTTAACAAGGGCAATAGAATTTGTAATTTTTGTACACTGCTTAAGTCATAAAATCTTAGAGTTGCTTCAGTTGGTAGGGACCTTAATTATCTATTTCCAACCCCCTGCAGTGGGCAGGGTTGAGAAACATTACATCAGGCTGCTCAGGATCCCATCCAACCTGGCCATGAGTACCTCCAGGATGGAGATCCACAACTTCTCTGGGCAATCCGTTCCCATGCCTCACCACCTTCTGAGTAAAGAACTTCCTCCTAATATCCAATATAAATGTATCCTTTTCTAGTTTAAATCCATTCCCCCCTTGTTCTATCACTATCAGACCACATGAAAAGTCAGTCCTCCTCCTGCTTCTAAGCTGCCTTCAAGTACTGCAAGACTGCAGTGAAGCCTCCCTGGAGCTTTCTCTCCTGCAATCTGAACAAGCCCAACTCCCTAAATCCCCCTCCCTTTCTTCACAGATGAGGTGCTCCAGGCCTGTGATCATTTTTGTGGCCCTTCCTTGGACCCACCAACAGCTCTGCTTCCTTCCTGTACTGGGGGCCTCCAAAACATGGTTAGATGCCATGCCTTCACCGCATACATGTTGTACGTCCACTAGGGCCTCTTTCATCCTTATCAAGGGGAACACTCACCTTCTTATGTTTCATACGATAAGAAATTAGCTATAATTTCATTCAGAACTGCCCCTTAACATTATTAAGTACTCAGAATTCCAGCTGAAATTGTTATGTTTGAAAAAACAAAAATTGCTAAAGAAAAAACTCAGTTCAGTCATATTAATAATGCATCACAGTACATTATATATCAGAAGTATAAAATAGATTTGCATTTTCATCATATGCCTTCAAAACATTTTTCAATTATATTCAAGGTAATTAAATCATGAATGGATTGCTCAAATGGTTTCCCAATAATTCTGTTTTAATGTACATGATATTAACATGAAATAAGCTTCCTAGAGAAGAAATACTATTTCAAGAATCCTGCAATAGAATAACACTGAGCAACTCAAACAACTGTATTTAGCAAATCCACCTGTCAGAGAGATGTATAATTTCTGTGTTTCTACTCTCTGATATAATAATCTTTCAAAGACAAATTAAAAATAAGTTTTATATCTGGGCTAACTAGTATTAAAACAAATACAAAAAGGTTTTCAACTAAATTTGAAGACATATATAACATGTCTTCAATTTTTTCAAAGCATGCAGCATGCAGCATGCCCACTTATACATCAAGTAAGAGGAGATCCTTTATTTGTTCTAGATTAGAAGTCACACATGTATCCTTACTTAGCCCAGAGACCAAACATGCTTCTGTTGTGCTTCATATTTCTGAATCTGAAAAAAAGCAAAAGCCACCTACATCTTTTCCTGGGAAACTAATACACACTTACATCACAGCATCCGACATGAAACTGAAAAAATGAAAAAATTAGCTGTTGAATATATCTACAAAAAATAAACAAGAATTAATCAGCACACACTACAATTACAACTTTTTTTTTGTCTTAGCCATACTTCAGTAACAATCAATTACATGAGTAGAAAAAATTCACGTACTCTCATAATAGCCTGCATTCTTTTATCAGCTTGGTGTCATTGAGTAAATAGCTTGTTGTCTTCCACTGTTGCACCAAAGTAATCCAACAAAGGTTTCATGTTTTTTTAGTATATATTACTGTGACAATTTTCTATCAAATTATGAGAATCACTTGATAGCAAAACATTAACAAAACAGTACCATGAAACAAGCTACATAATTTGTCCCTTATAGCAGAACACAGATCTAAGCTATTGTGACAGTAGAAAATCAACAAGTTGGCAGTAAAATCTTATTATGAGAAATGTCCAAAGATCTAACTTCATGTAGTGATAGCAAATTTGATCTTTTGCTTTATAATATATCCTAAACAACTACTCTGCATCACTTTCCTACTCCATAGGTCTCAATTACATAACAAAACTAACCTGAACTGAACAGAACTGTTTAAAGCAAAATGTTTTATTACCGTCACTAGTCAGGCAGGAAGTTAGCCTTTCTTTTCACTACTTAATTTTGTTCATGTTACTATTTGATGGACAGATAAATGATCATCCTGTATGCTGCATACTTCCTTCAAGGTATCTGTGCCACCTTTCTCAACACTGTCAATTGTAGCTCTAACAAAGTGGTAATGTAAGTGAAAGCTCCTGGCTTCACATCTCACAGCTTGTCAAGGAAATTGGCTCATTTATGCCCCTACACAAGGATTTTTTTTGTAAGAAAATGAGTACATGCTTGACTGTAAACATGGCCTGTCTCATCAATTTAAAAGGAAATTAACACTATAAATTCAATAAAATATGCAGAATAGGAGGCAGAGGTCAGGAGGTGAATCACACCACAAATATTTCCAAATACCATGGTCTCATCCTAAACTTGGATTCATTGTATTTTTGAGTAAACACCTAAGAAAACACTTAAGCAGTGAAGTCCCACAAACATAAGTGAGAATAAACAGTACTATTTTAGGTTCCTTATAAAACAATTACTATCTCCTCGACCACAATTGTTGCTGCTGTTCCTTAGAGAATTGTGGAATGGCTGAAGCCAGAAGGGACCTTAAAGATCATTTACTTCCAACCCCCTTCTGTAGGCAGGGTTGATGACCACTAGATCAGGCTGTCCAGAATCCCATCCAACCTGGCCTTGAACACCTCCAGGGTTGGGGTATCCATAGATTCTCTGGACGACCTGTTCCAATACATCCCCACTTTCTGAGTAAAAAATTTCTTCCTAATGTTTAGTTGCTGCCACAACTCTCTTTCCAACTCCCTTGATCTTTCTTCATAGAAGAGGTGCTCCAGCCTTCTCATCATCTTTGTGGCCCTCCTCTGGACCCAATCCTAGTGGGGCTTGGACACAATACCTGCAGATGTAGCCTCACAAAAGCAGAATAGAGGAGGATAATCACTGCTCTTTCTCTGCAGGCTATTCCTCTTTTGGTGTCAGCCATGCAGGTTGCAAGAGCATACTGCTGGCTCACATCCAGCTTTTCATCTACCAGGAACCCTAAGCCCTTCTCCATAGGGCTGTTCTCATGTAGATCTCCTGGTCATTACTTGTATTTGGGATGGCCTCAACCCAAGTGCAGCACCTTACACTTGGTCTTGTTAAACCTCATTAGATTTCTGCATGCCCACTTTTCAAGTATGTCCAGGTCCCTCTGTATGGTGCCCCTCTATTGTGTCAACAGCACCATAAAGCTTGGTGCCATCAGCAAACTTGATGATAGTACACTCAATCCCACTGTCTGTCATTGAAAAAGACACAGATCCATTGATCACAATTTTCTGGCTGCGACCATTCAACCAATTCCATATCCACCAAATAGTTCACCCTTCAGATCTATATTTCTCCAATTTAGAGATAATAATAAGGTGTTGAACCACACCAGCAGCGTTGCACAAGTCCAGTCACTGTGTTGTGGAAGGCTACTAGATTGGTCAGGCATGATCGGCCCTTGGTGAAGCTGTAATGGCTGCCTCCAATCACCTCCTTGTTCTGCATGTACCTTAACATACTTCCCAAGAGAATCTGCTCTACTATCTTGCCAGGCACAGACATGAGGCTCACCACCCAGTAGTGCAAGAGGTCTTCCTTTCTTAAAAATGAAAGTGATGTTTCTTTTTTTCTATTCAGGAGGGACTTTGCCTGACAGCCATAGATTTTCAAATATGATGGAGAGGGGCTTGACAACCACATCAGTCAGTTCCTTCAGGACCTTGGGATGCATACCATCTGGCCCCATAAGCCTGTGCACATTCAGCTTCATGAGGCAGCCTTGGACTTGCTCTATCACAATGAGATGGATTTTGCTCCCACAACCCCTGCCTAGAGGATTCTGGAACACAAGAGTTTCCTACCATATTTAAGTCATCAGGACAGTTCTATTATGATCAAGTACTTAGTTAATGTAAAGTGCTGTACATTACCAGAGCTCACCTATGATCTCCCATACTTTCCTCAGTGCCTGAACTTATAAGGAAAAAGTCAGGGCCTAAAAAAATACTAAGCTTAGTTTTTCTTTTCAAAAACATCCAGGATGTCTACACTATAGACTCATAGAACCACAGAATCCTCAGAGTTGAGTTGGAAGGGATCTGTAAAGGTCATCCTGTAGTTCCCCTTTAGATAATGAAAGGCCACTGTTGGGTCTCCTGGAGCATTCTCCAAGATGAACAGCCTCAGCTCTGTGAGCCTTCTTCACAGGATAGGTGTTCTATCCCTTGAATCATTTTTGTGGCCCTCCTCTTCTTGCACTCCAACATGTCTGTATGATGGAATGGCTCTATCTTGATACTTGTTTATAGGGACAATGTTAATGCTATTGAACACAATTCAGTAGAAAATATTCTCAACTTTGACTACTGAAAGTTTCTTGGACTACCCTTTTGTTTTTTTCTTGTAACACCAGCTTGTGTTTGTATCACCACTTACAGAAGCACTTACAGAAAATGCCACAAGCAGAAGGTGATGGAATAAAACATGACACCATCACTGTTTCACATTCATATATAAAATATTACATCTGTGATATTTATCTGGAAATGCCCATGTTGTCCACGCTAAGCGGTTCTTGTGAACAAGAATTGATTGTTAAGTAATATATTGGCATAGGGATCTGTTTTGTGATGATTTTGTCTTTTTTATATATTTATGTATAGATATACATAGGTATTTTTATAGTTTGTGGCATAATCTACTGCAACATTTCCAGATGCAGCAATAATTAAGATAGTCTATTTTAATGTATTAAAACACATACATTTATGCTTTTGAAATAACCTATTAATGAAAATGACTACTCATGTTTCTGGGACACTGACAATTGCAACAATGTAGAGAAAATAGTGTTGTGACTAGCTGTCATGTACTTCTCAGTACATTAGGTTTATTGCTGCTTAATTAAACAAATCTTAATCTAACAGTTCATAAGCATTCAAGTTATTGACACAGAGCAGTCCTTTCTTGAAATACAAACCAGTCAGGCATAATGTAGTCAATCTTTGTTACCTTTAAAAAATATTGCCAGCTGAGTTATCAGAGACATCCATCACATCCTTCAAAATCATTCTAAAGTTAAAGATACAGGAATGAAAAAAAGTAATTCCATAAATGACACAAATAAAGAAATACTTAGTTAAATTCTTACACTAATAAAATATAGCAGTTATTTCAAATGTTTTGTCTATGTTTTATGTCATGTAATTTGGATTTGCATGATGAATAAATTAGTAATTTATTATCATTGATGAATGGGTTATAAACATTTGATATATGTGTCAACGCATCCATGATGATTGAATCTGATATAAGTGGCTATAACCATGTTTTTCATTTGCTTGAAACAATAACAGTTTGTAAGAGCACTAATTCAAAACAACATATTGAATTGTACCACTAGCTTTAAAATAAGAGTAATGTTACAGATCAAAATACTAAAAAAGTATCCTTTTCATCCCCAGTTCATAAAACTCACTCCACCTCCTCATCCTTGAGCAAAGCTGCTTCTCCCAAATGGAAAACTACTACAAAAAATGTAATTAAATGTAATCCTGCAGCATCTCTTCTCCCCTCATTCACAAATAGGCTGAGTTCCACTGGGCTTT